AGACACAACAAATTCCACACTGTGTTGCCTTTACAAAAGCCTGGTGGTCTCTGCTGCACACCTGCCGCCCCCAATGTGTTAATCCACTGACTGGAATGAACATAGTTCTGGGTATGGCTGAGTGGATCACTGCAGACAAATTCCCTCCCCTGGGGGTGAGTGGCATCACCTGAAAGCCTGGATGGGACAAAAGCGAAGGGCAGGCTTGCTGCATGCTTGCCTGCTGCTTCCTGCCTGCCACACCATGAGCTGTCTCTCCTCGGCCCTGGCCCTCTACTGGCCACCCCGACGGCTGACTGCGGGCTGAAGCCTCTCCTCCTTTGTTTTTTTTTTTTTTTTTTTTGTACCAGGAATCAAATTCAGGACCTTGCACTACCTCCCTGGCCCTCCTCGTTTAACTCTGGATGTCACGTATTTGTCTCAGCAGTGGTAATAGTAACACATACACCTTTTAAATTTTCTGAAAGACCTTTGTCAAAGTTAAAAAGCACGGCGATAAATGCAATAGGTCAAACTGATCAGATCCTAGCGTTAAGGAAAAGATATTCTTGTGGTGACGGGGGAGATGAGAATAAGGGGACAGTATTATGGAATTATCATGGACATCATGATGTCATTGGGATTATGCAAAGTCATCTAGCAGCAAAATGTCTAGAAAGCACAAATATGGTCAATGTTGATAACAAGTAAAAATGTAAATAAACCCCTTTCTGAAGCCTATGGCCCCCAAATCCCTGACCCAATTAAAAATTGTGGCACTAAAGGCAATTTTCTATGATTGGTAGTTGTGATGTGCTGTGCAATTTCACGGGTGCAGGAAAATTCCACTGAGCGAAGCGCATACATCATACACGAGACCAGTTAGAGCCGTGCCGATTTTCCAAACATCTCTTATCAAATCCTGGACTGGAAATGCAACAGAGCAGCTGCGGGTGCGGATTCTGCTTCCTGCAGACCTCGACTCAAGCGACACTGCCCAACTCAGGACCTTGCGCTTGCCAGGCAGGCGCTTAAGCCGCCAAGCTATCTCCCCAGTCCCCACCACTTATTAAGGTATAAACTTGAATTAGTGGTTAACCAACCTAACCTTTGCTCTCTTTAATAGCCCCTACCGAACAAAACTGGTGTGACAATTAAGCATAAACAAAATTCCAAAAGAGCAAGCACAGAACCTGGCAGAGCACACACGCTTAATTCGTGGCAGTTAGTATTTACACTTCATCGTAACAGTGGGCCGGGTGTCCAACAGAGACACGAGGTGCTACTTTGACTCCTTTTGCTCGACAGGACACAAACTACTTGGATACTGATTTAGGTGAAGCACAAAAGAAAAACCTCATATAATAATGTGAAAATGTGAGATAACTTCAGATGGAGAAATATTTAAAAAGTTTTATCACCTAATGTGAACATCAGTATTTCTAAAGAAAAAAATTAGACCTCAAGAAAAAGCTTTGGGGGCCGGGGAGATGGCACACGGGGCCGGGGAGATGGCTCAGTAGGATAAGTGCTTGACTGGCAAACTCAAGGATTTGAGTTCAATCCCTGGTTCCGCAAAAAAAAAAAAAAGAAAAAGCTTTGATTTTTTTTTTTAAAATGTATTTGGCACAGGGTCTTGCTATGCAGCTTGGACTCATAGTGATCTTCCTGTCTCAGCCTTCCCAGAGCTGGGATTACAGGTGTGCGCTACCACACCAGGTGTCAGTGGCTGGCTCAGTGTGCGGGCTTCCACGGCATGTGGTGCTGGGGATTGAGCCCTGGTCCCTGTGCTTGTGAGGCACATGCTTAGTCCATTGAGCTATATCGCTGGCCCAAGAAAAAGCTTTTCAAGGCTGCATGTATCTTGCACACACAAGACTTGAGATAACTGGGGCTGGAGAGATGGCTCAGTGGTCTAAAGCACCTACTTGGAACAAGCTTGGCAAAGCACAGGGACCGCGGTTCGATCCCCCAGCACCACATGCCAGCCAGCCCCGCCCCCTGGTGGGCTGAGCTGGCCACACACACACACACACACACACACACACACAATAAATAAATGTAAAAATAAATAAATAAACAACAACAAAAAAAAGACTTGAGATACCGACAAGGGAAGGGAGCAGCCGTCGCCCAAGAGCACAGGCCCTGGCCAAGAGCTGGCGGCGGCGGCGGCGGCGGCGAAGCTGCCCCCCCTCCCGAGCGTGAGCTGCCTGCCAGGCCCTGCCGCATCCCGTGACACACCACCGCACTGGTGCAGCCAGTGCCAAGTCCTGCTCGCTCTCCTTTCAGACACCGAGCACACGGCTCCACTGCTCACCTCCTCAGCCCTGACCTCCGCCTGCACTTATGTGTGCTGCTTCTGCAACCTCCTCCTGCTCTCTCCATCTGCCGTGCTCCCCTACAGACCCAGAGCCCAGAGAACTGCTCATTTCACTGCCCTAAAAGGCCTCCGAAACTTCCCATAAAGCTAAGTCTGTAAGGGCCCACCCAATCCGATCTACAGCATTGGCCCTAACTACTCTTACAATTTCTTTTTTTTCTTTCTCTGACATACATTTATTTATTCTCAATGGCAATAGAAACTACCTCAAAATAAATGCAGGGGCTTCGTGTTTTCAAGAGACAGTTGAAAATATGCTATTTCAATCGAAGTTTAAAAGCCATGCCTTGCCCTGTTTAGCAGCAGTTTTAAATTAGAAAGTCAGTCCTCACGTGGTCAACGTTTGACACCAGAACGGAGCCCTACTCGCGAGTGGTATCAGATGGGTATGCATACTCCTGGGTACATGTGCTCCAGTGCATCCGGGTCCCTGGCAATCCTGGTTCTAAAGCGATCAGAAGAGGACTGAAGATTAGGAGCAGCAGGGGCTGGAAGTCCCTGGGCAGTCAGGGTTCTTCCAGGACCATTAGCATCCAAAGGCAATGATACCGTCAGCTGCAGAAAGGATGGCTTTTCCTTTTTCATTCTCTTCCTCGGGAGCCGCTGTCATTGCCGCTGCTGCTTCTATCGGAACGCGACTCAGGCCTGAGTCCATGCTGGGCTCATCATTCCTGCTTCTTTACTTTTACAATTTCACTTTCTATTACTCTGTTCCCAAGTGGCTTCCTTAGAGGTCTGTAAGTGTCTAAAGTCTCTCTGGTCTTTGCCCCAGGAATATCCTCTGCCTATACTACTACTTCCCATGACAGCCTTGTGTCCTGCACTCCAACTTCCTTAGGCCTACAAGTAACTGTCATCCTGCGATAGGGTCTTTCCCCGGCCACAGTATGTATCAGCGATCTAATGAACTTGTATCTCATGGAGTGCTATGCAGTGGAGAAAAAGAATGGGAGTGATCTCCATGAACTGATTTTTCACATACACGGTTAAAAGACAAAAGCAATATTCAAAGGAATACATAAAGTATTATCTTATTCAATATGGGGACTTAGAGATAAATATATGTGTCTGTTTATATCTACAAAAAGAAATAGTAAAAATAAACCAGTAACAAATATGATCTCTGATGGGGAAAGAAGAAAGACAGGAATAGGATTTCTCTGGGCGCATCTTTGATTTTGAGCATAAAGTTTGCTCTGAGTATGTGTTTGATTTGGTTTGATCCATGTTAATATTTTACATAATAAAATTTCAAAAGTATAAAACCCTAAAATTGAATAGAACCAAAAGCAAACTACTGCACTTATATATCAGATTGATAATATGGACAACATCAAAAGGAAAATGTCCCAGGATTGTTTTAGTATTCTACTCATCATTGCTGGGCCACACTAAAGAATAAAGGGAATTGCAAAGCAATCTTTAACTGTATTTAGTATGTGTGTATTTGACA